CAACATGTACCCTCCTCCCCTCCTCTCCTCCTCTTTCTCCCTCATCCCTCGTCATCGCTGTCATCGTCATCGTTGTCATCATCGTAATCATCGTCACCATCCTCATCATCGTCAACATCATTGTGACCGCCGACCCCATTCTGACAGACCTCTCACACGCTTCGTGGCCTCACAGGGCGATCCACTGAAGGCCCCAGCGGCTGCGTTCACATGGCGGCGCCGTCCCCAATTCGGGACACCCCTCACATGTTTCGCTGCCCGGCGCCACAGGAAGCTCCACCGAAGGCCCCAGTGGCTACGTTCACATGGCGGCGCCGCCCCAAAATCGGGACACCCAGCCCTCACACGTTTCGTTGCCACATGGGGAGCTCCAGCAAAGGCACCAATGGCTGTGTTCGCATGGCGGCGCCGCGCCCACTTCGGGATCCCCCTCGCACGTTTCGTTGCCACATGGGGAGCGCCACCGAATGCCCCCGTGGCTGCGCTCGCCTGGCGGCGCCGCCCCGATTTCGGAACACCACTCACACGTGGCGTGGCCCCAGAGGGCGCTGAACCGAAGACCCCAGCGGCTGCGCTCGCATGGCGGCGCCGCACCCATGTCGGCACGCCCTCGCACGTTTCGTGTCCCCATGGGGAGCTCCACCGAAACTCTGGGCGGTTGCGTTCGCATGGCGGCGCAGCACCCGCTTCGGCACGCACCTTCCACGTTCCCGGGCTTCTCAAGGAGCCCCAACGAAGGCCCCAGCGGCTGCGTTCGCATCATGGCGGCGCCGCACGCAGTTCGGCACACCCCTCACGTTTCGTTACCCCATGGGGAGCTCCACCGAAGGCATCACTGGCTGCGTTCACCAGGCGGCGCCGCCCGATTTCGAACACCACTCACATGTGGCGTGGCTCCAGAGGGCGCTCCACCGAAGACCCCAGCGGCTGCGTTCGCATGGCGGCGCCGCACCCATGCCGGCACACCCTTCACACGTTTCGTGGCCTCACAGGTAGGGAGGTCCACCTAAGGCCCGAGTGGCAGGGTTCGCATGTGGGCGTCACGCCCGTTCACACACCTTCACACGTCTCATTGCCCCACAAGGAGCTCCACCCAAGGCCCCAGTGGTGGGGCGCGCATGTGGGCGTCACGCCCGATTGGGTACACCCCTCACACGTATCTTTGCCTCACAGGAAGCTCCACCGAAGGCCCCACTGGCTGCGTTCGCCATGTGGGCGTCACGCCCATTTCCGCACACACCCCTCACACGCTTCGTGGCCCCATGTGGAGCTCCTCCGAAGGCCCCAGTGGTTGCGTTCGCAGGGCGGGCCGGCCCCGATTTCGGCGCACTCCTCAAACGTTTCGCGTGGCCCCACAAAGGAGCTCCATCAAGGACGACATTAACAATTGCGTTGCTCACATCTGCACATGATTGGGTCCTATGCCCGGACGAGCATTCGGATTCCTCCGGATCTCCCGCAGGAGACCTCAACATTCCAGAGAGTTCCTTATGGGCCCTCAGGGATCTTGAGGATGCCTGGGGATCCATCGGAGATCTCCCCTCAGGGGCATTCAGGAATCCTACAGAGACCTGTGGGTTCCTGAGACTCACTATGGATCCTCAATGTCCTGAAGATCACCGAAAAGCTGTTCTGAAAGCCTGACGATACTCGATGCTCATCGAGGACTCCTCATGGGTCTTGCAAGCCCCGAAGGGATCCTAGGGGATCCGCAGGTTAATTGGAGATTCAAGACATGGTTTCAAGGATCCTCAAGGGCCACCCAGAAATTCCGAGGACTCCTCGAGGTCCTTGAGAATTCCGCGGGATTCCTCAGGGACCTGTTCCAAGGATTTTCGGGCATCCTCAGGTTACGTCTGATCCTCAGGATTCCTCTGGGGCCCTCGGGGATCCTTGGGGTCAGCGCGGTTCGCGGGGCTTCCCGAGGGTATTCCGAGACCCGCAGGGGTCCTCAGGGATCATGGAGGACCCTCGGGGTCTACAGGGATTCGGAGGATTCCCGTGGACTCCTCGCAGGCTCTCAGGTATGGCCAGGAACTCGCATCGTAGCCCCCAAGATCACGTGCAGTAGGCCTTGGGGACTCGAGACGAAGGTGCAAGGTGTTCGTGTAAGAAGCCCCAGGTGTAAACCTCGGGTGCTCGCGTCGCAGGTTCAGGGCGCGACACCGCAGGGTCCTGAGAGTTGCGTATGAGGCCCCAAGACTCACCCGCAAGCCGAATAAACATTCTGGACAGCATCGGCGCGCTCATCTTAAAATTCTTCGCGAGATCCCCGTGCTATGGCCTTCCGGCCCTGGTCACTATCCTTATTCCTTCTCTTCCCCGCCAACCCCCGATCGGCGACACATGCGTCGCTAAAAACTAAACGATACGGCAAAGGTGACCTTCTCTGACGTGGACGGCATTATTTCGCACTGTGCCTCCTTGGACACTCCCCCGCGAAAGCACAAGTGGAAATGTTGGGCACTCCTTACCAGTTCTATGTCCAAATATTGTCAAGGAATGTTCAACATGGCGTTGCCAAGGGAGAGTTTTCTTTCCAAGAATCGACAACATATAACCAACATGCTTCGTCATCATCAATATAACCACAACTGAAATCGCGCAGCAGGGAACTTGTTTACTCCCGCCCTCAAAACCTCACCCAGCACATCGAGGTGCGGGGGTGGCGGGAGCACAGTGCGCCTATAGCTGAAGGGGCGATCAACAAAAACAACAAAAAGCGCCTCTCAACCTTGGGAGGATTCCCTCAACGATGATTCATCCTCTCAAGCCACCCAGCGGCGTTGAGTTGATTGCGACGAGACTCGAAGGAGGACGAGGAATCATATAAACAGAAAGACAAAATCAATCACCATTGAATCGGCATACCAGATCGAATCGGAACGTGCGTCGGATCGGGCTGCATCGGATCAGTCAGCATCGAGTGGGATCGGCTGCGACAAAATGCACAACATCGTCGAGCAAGCATCGGGCCGCATCAGATCGTTGGAATATCGGAGAGAACGTGATCCACCTCCGCTTTCCTGTGGAAAATTCCCCCCCTCTTCCTCTGGAACCCGGGGGTTCCCCCCCCCTCCTCCGAAAATCCCCCCCCTGCTCGAAGTTCGAGCAGGGGGGAAGGGGGGGGGGGTCAGACCCCCTCCCCTCCCCCCCTTCCTCCGGCAAAACCGATTTCCCCAACCACTCCCCCCCCCCTCCGGAAAACCCGGGGGGTCACTTCCGGTTCGAACCCCCCCCCGCCCCCCTTCAGAAAACCATGGGGGGTCACTTCTGGTTTGAGCCCCCCCACCCCCTCCACTCACCGCCGACAAACGACTCCCGGGTCCCCACCACCGTCCTCACCACCGCCCTCAACGCTGTCCCCAGCGCCACCGTCCCCACCACCACTGTCCCACTGTCCCCACTGTTCCCACCACTGTCCCTTGTCCCCACCAGTGCCCCCACAACTGTCGCACTGTCCCCACTGTCCCCACCACTGTTCCCACAACGGTCCCACTGTCCCCACTGTCCCCACTGTCCCCACCACTGTCCCACTGTTCCCACTGTCCCCACCACTGTCCCGCTGTCCCCGCTGTCCCCGCCGCTGTCCCATTGAGCTGTCCCACTGTTCCCACCAGTCCCCACTGTCCCCACCACCAGTGTCCCCACTGTACCACTGTCCCATTATACAACCATCGTCCTCACCACCGCCCTCACAACTGTCCCCACCACCACCGTCCCCACCACTGCCCCACTGTCCCCACTGTCCCCACCACTGTCCCACTGTCCCCACACCATTGTCCCCACCACCACCGTCCCCACCACTGTCCCACCGTCCCCACCACTGTCCCACTGTTCCCACCATTGTCCCCACTGACCCCACCAGTGTCCCCACCAATGCACCCACCAGTGTCTCACTGTCCCCACTGTCCCCATCACCGTCCCCACCAGGGTCCGACTCTCACCGTTGTCACCGCTGTCCCCACCACTGTCCCACTGTCCCCACTGTCCCCACCACTGTCCCACTGTCCCCACCGTTTCCACCGCTGTCCCACTGTGTTGTCCCACTATCCCACTGTCCCCATCACTCTCCCCACCACCGTCCTTACCACCGTCCTTACCACCACTGTCCCCATCACTATCCCATTATCCCACTGTACCACTTTCCGATTGTCCCACCGCCGTCCTTACCACTGCCCTCACCATTGTCCCCACCACTACCGTCCCCACCACTGTCCCACTGTCCCCACTGTCCCTACCACTGTCCCACTGTCCCCTCGCCACTGTCCCCACCTCCACCGTCCCCACCACTGTCCCACTGTCCCCACTGTCCCCACCACTGTCCCACTGTCCCCACCACCACCGTCCCCACCACTGTCCCAGTGTCCCCTCCGTCCCAGTGTCCCGAGGAGCGGGAATCGTCTGCCGGCGGCCGGCGAGAGGGGGGGTTCGAACCGGTAATGAACTCCCCCCTTTTTCACGATCGATTGGGGAGGAGGGGTATCGAACCGGTAATGACCCCCCCCCCAATTTTCGAGCGGGGGGGACGGGTCGGGAACCCCCAGTGACCCCCCCCGGTCTTCAGCCAACACCGGTAGAACACGCTCTTTCGAATATCGAGATCTTACCGGGCCGAGCCAGCAATGATCAAAAACGAATCGGATCGATCTGATCGAAACTGACTTTGAAGGACGAGGAGGAGGATCAGCAACAACATGCTATGGGACGCACAAGGACATACTAGTACCATATGTCATCCTCGGAAGCGTCAGTCCGACCCGACCATGTAATACAGCCATCTTGTACTATCCCGTTTACCGAGCGGTACGGCCAGAAGGCGCCAACCACAGAACTCATACGAAGTATGAGATCTATGGATGCGCGCGTCGCCCCTGAGGCGGGCGACGCATATATATATATATATATATATATATATATATATAGTAGTAAAAGTATGTCGTTGCGACGCCGAGTCAGCAGCAACATGATGAAGCGGCAGGGCCATGTGAAGGACGCGCCTTGATGCGGATCGCTGGAACTGAGTTCGGGAGGGTTCCCAACGCCGTGGCTCGACCGCCGCTTCGCCTGCGCGGTCGCCGCACGGGCGGGGGAGGGAGGGGGGAGCGAGATGACCGCCCGCACCACTAAACAATTGTATGTATTTCTTCTCGATGCGTGTGTTTATATGTGCGTGTGTCATCCTTGCGCAAGGGCCGTGCTAATAATATCTGTATCGTTCCAAATTTACCGGATGATCTCTGAAGGGAATCCGCGAGGGGAGCGAAAGGAGGAGGACGAGGAGGAGGACCGACAGACAACCACTTGCGAGCCTATGTCCTTTGTCTGTGACGGACGGGGCGGTGGCCCGCGTATTCCACCTCACCCGACGTGGGGAGGGCGAAAACCCATTCCTCAGTTGGGCTGCCGGTGGAAGCTACGTAGAAGCTACGAAGCGCTATTCACACCGTCTGCGCAAAGACTGATATAAATCGGCTCTGCGATGCGCTGACAATGCGCCTACCAACGGCTTCGCTGGGGGACTCCACTGGCTTAAAGAGGGACGGCCCATTGGGGAAAACATAAGCCGCCCTCCAGAAGCACCAGTCCCCTGCTTGCAAACTTGACGAGTCGCGAAATCGTCGCAATCTGAGAACAAACTTTCAGACCCCCGAGAAGTCGTGGTCCATATGTACCGTGACAGCTGGCTGGACGGTAGAAGGTGGGAGCACAAGAGGAATGGGGGAACGGAACTCAACCGAGGAAAAGGGGACATCGGCAGGGATAGCATGAGCCCTGGAAACTCGGCTCATTAGCTGTTCCATGGAGAGTCCAAACTCCACAAGTGTCCCAAGACCATGCATCATAGTTTGAGGAAGAAGAAGAAGATAAACAATTTGGCTTCCGACCTGATAACTGAGAACCGATCCGGAACGGCTGGCCTGTAGTCGGGTCAGGGCGTCATTAATATGTCCGTTTCCGGTTCCGAATCATTTAACACATGCGCTGGGGTCCTGCGACCTGGTCGAGAATGGCAGAGTGCAGTCGTCCGCGAGTTCCTGGCCGATCTCCTCCCCAGTACTGTTGCCCTTGCCTTTCTTCCTGCCCGCGGAGCCCTCGGCGCCGCTGCTGCCGCTGGCCTCGCCGTTGCTGACCTGTTTGGCGACGCAGTCGTCGTTGATGCCGATGCGTTGGAGAAGGACCTCGGCGCCCCTCTCGAGCGCTCCCCGCGGAGCGCTGCCAGGCTTGTAGGTTCGCTCCTGCACAGTCATCATGGGGAACACAGCTTCGCGAAGAGTGGTCCCCATCTGTGCCGCCTCCACCGCCTGCTGCGCCGATGCCAGCATGAACTGTACCTTGCACTGCTATAGATTATCGTAATTCTTCTTGTCGAAGTAGCACGGGCGCGCGCGGGAGTATTTGATGCGCGTTTGCTGGGTGCCCAGCGCCTCCTGCTGCGGTTCCATCGCCAGGGAGTTCCAATACGGGATGCACATGTTCTTCAGTTGGTCGGGCAACTCGGGCTGGGATATCAGGCATCATATCAAAAGCGGGAAAATGCGGGGCCGAGAAAGCCCGTTCTTGCGGTCTTTGGCCTCCGTCTTGCATGTCGCGTCGTAGTCAAGGCCGGCTCGGCAAAGGACAGGGGCGATCTCGGCGTCGCGCGGGGGCGAGAAGGAGGTGTAGCACGCGCCGATCAGCTCCGCCAGCTCTCGACTGTCGTCGAGCGTCAGCTTGGCCAGGATTGCGATGGGCGCCGCCAGATGGCCTCCTGCACGAGGAGACTCTTCGTGATTCTGATCCTTGAGACGAGCCAACTTGGAGTCCTTCGAATCCGCCGCGGGCCCTGCAATGCGCTTGGCCCTCGGTGGAAGCGCGTGAAAGCGAGGGCGGCTATGGAATTGAAGCGCACTCAAATCGTGCACTTAAGCCGGACGCAATGGGCAAAGAAAAGCATCTCCATGCTGACGTGCCCGATAGGTGCTGCTCCGAGAAGCTGCGCAGAGTCCTGCCCTGAGCGAACTGACCAGGTGTCTGCGCGTGCTGTTGGTGTCTTCAAAAAAAGAGAGCCGAACGACACATTGATTGGTGAACGCGGCCTGGGACAGAATGGCTTGGAAACCATGGCGATTGTGCATGCGCGCCAGCAGCCGGCGTCGAGTTGCAACGTGCAGGGCATGCCCTTCCAGCACACAGATGATTACCTTGTTTAAGACATGCTGTGGATGTGGAAATAGAGGAAGACAATCATGACGCCCTGGGGTGGCGCTCTCACAATGAGCCGGTGGGCCCAAATTTTCTGCGGGGTCGAACGTCTGGAACCATTCGCTTGCATCTGGATCCTGGAAGAGCTGGAGGGGGGCGCTGTCGAACCGATCTATCACGTCAGCCCCCTGATCACCTAGATGCGCAAGCGCGTTCATGTCGTCGACGAATCTTCTAGCCCACGGACAGGCGGCCCCACTGAGTTCCCCCTGGACATCGATGATGTGGACGTCATTTGGGAGCTAGATCCTCACAACCCCAGGAAGCGCCCCTCCAGTCCGAGATGCGCGCCACAGGATGCGATACCCAAGACTTACGCCATTTGATGCGGCGGGATCTGGCTGGCGCGAAGCGCCAGTGGCGGAGTACTTGCTGGTCGGATGGCGACGCGGGGCGATCCTCGCGACGCTGCGCGGCAGCTCCTTGCAAGGCGCGGCAGGCGCGCCCAAGACTCGAAAATCGAGGTTAGCGAAACGCATGGCAGTCGGGGAGAAACTCTCGACGCCTGAAAGAGCAGGGCCGCGCACGCGGCTGAGGAAAACAGCTCGTTCCTCCACGACCGGGGCGTTAGATTGGCACCAGTTCCTGCCCGTCGCAGCGCAGCCCGCATCGACGGCTGCATGGCGAGCTGGCCATTCAAAATTAAATGTAAAGTCTGCGCGGAGTACCCCTCCAAGCATTCGAGCACGGTCGTTGACAACGCCTGCCGAAGGGGGCTCGCCCGACTGAAAAACGCGGCGGGTCTGCTTACTCCCAGCACAGGAAACTGCCGCAACTGTTTCGTGCTTGGTCGGGCTCATCTGATAGTTGTGATCGAACGTGCTCTGGTTCATAATATTATCACACATGGTGGATCCACCGCTAAGCTCGTCGCCGACGCCCCCCCCCCCCCTCCCCCCCGATATCATAACCATCGTCGCGTCGCCAACATAGCTAATTATGGAAGGCGAGGTCGGGCCGCATCGCAGAGTCGAAGTGTGGGGGTCTATTAAGCGCCATTTAGCTGCGTGATCACCCTGTTGAACATATTGCTCCTGGACGTCCTCGAGAGCCCACCCGGTGTCCCTAGTAAAGCATTCGACCACCCCTGCTTCTCCTTGGAACGCCCCTGCGCGTGGCCTAGCACAGACGACTCCGTCTGGGCCCAGAAAACAGACGGCGGCACGGCGAAACCGACGTTCTCCAAAACGCGCCTCAGAGCCCCTCGCGACGCCAGCGCTGGCCCGGCCCAGGGCCGAGAACGCGGCGCTGCCAAAGACGTTGGCAGCATCTTCATGTTCGCGAATGAATAGAAGATTGAGTCCACGGAGGCGCCGGCCCAGTGATTGTCGGATCATCATGGGAGTCTCTCGCCCGCGTGTAGCAGCGCAACCGCGGGCGAACTGCGGCTCAGAGTTCCGTTCGCTGGCACTGGAAAATTGCGATGGATGCCTATCCACATGGGCAGAGAACGCGCATGATGCGCATGCGTGCGACAGCTGCCCCACGTGATACATGCCACACCTAGGGCAACTGACTGGAGCGGTAAACCTCGCGCATCAAGCCTATGAACAAATTTTGAATCTCACGAAATTCAACGCGCGGGCTCTCGCATCCAAGTCCGCGGTATCTGTTCGATGCCCGTCTGCGAGGGTTAAAACTCATCCGTTATAACTCGGGCGGCAATGACTATGGCGGCGCTGCTCGACGCTCGGCGGCAGAGCGGAGCTGGGGAGCTATGAGTTGAAGCTTGCGCCGTGACCATGCCGGCCCCTCCTTGGCGAAGGGGTAGGTGATGTCTTAACTCTCTATGCCAGTGGGGCCATAGATGCAGTCGCGCCCACGGCAGTTCCAGTGGATCGCATCTGCGTCCGCGCCGCCCGGGCCCGAGGTGACTTGGAACCGGCGTCGGAGATATCCTGCGCAGTAGGGAGCGCCTGCACCACGCGTCGGTAATTGCGGCGCCTCGGGCCAGCACCTCTCGCCGAAAGGAGACAGGAAAGTCGCGCAACTTCAGTCTTGCGTCCTAGGCGATCTGCGCGCAAAAATTCGGATGCAACCGCAACGCGCCGTCGGCGCAGGTGTAGTAGTCGCAGGTCTGCGCTGGCGCCGGGAGATGATGGCGTTGCCAGGTGATGGCAACCTCCTGATCGGGGTAAGCGTTGATGATGTCGCGTCGCAGATGACGTCGGCGTCGTAGCAGCTGCTGTACTTGTTAGGCGCGGTAGTGATAGCCAAATTGCGGTTCAGGATTTTAGTGACGGGTCTAACGCCTTCTCAGAGAATATGCATGAACTGGCCCCACTCCGTGTTGGGCGTGTATTGGCCACGCCGCAATTGGCGGAATTCTTGCCAGTGCTCATGCATGCGTGGTTCGGCTCGCGAAAGACATTTAGCTCTGTTGGTGCCTTGCCTGAGTGCGACCATCAATGCCTCGCGATTCCACGACGTGAGCTGTGGCACAAAACCGATTTCGGGATCATCTGCATGGCGGCTAGACAACCGAATTTCGCTGGCAAATGTATCGGGGGATCTGGCATGCACGGGCACGTGATCGCAAAATTGTCTCGAAGGATGATTTGAAATTCGCGTGCCAATCGACAAAGCGGGCCAGCTGCCCGCGCGGCGGCGAGCATGCGCTTGGGGACCAAAACGGAATAAAATTGCGATCCTGTTCCTGGGGCGCCATAGTAAATGGCACCCGCGCCTGCGAACGTAATCAACGCAAGCATGCCCACGACTTCCAGAAAAAAGCTAAGGTAATATCGGCTGCAGACCTTTCTCGAACTGGCTGCGTCTGGTATCCAAAACATGAGGAGTGAACGGGAAGTCAATGTTCGGAA